GGGGAAACACTGTTAATATACAATCCCACAGTACAATGATCTACTAGTGCATACAAGATACGCAAGAGGGGGAAACACTGTTAATATACAATCCCGTGTACAATGATCTACTAGTGGATACAAGATACGCCAGAGAGGGAAACACTGTTAATATACAGTCCCGTGTACAATGATCTACTAGTGCATACAAGATACGCAAGAGGGGGAAACACTGTTAATATACAGTCCCACAGTACAATGATCTACTAGTGGATACAAGATACGCAAGAGAGGGAAACACGGTTAATATACAATCCCGTGTACAATGATCTATTAGTGGATACACGATATGCAAGAGGGGGAAACACTGTTAATATACAATCCCACAGTACAATGATCTACTAGTGGATACAAGATACGCAAGAGAGGGAAACACGGTTAATATACAATCCCGCAGTATGATGATCTATTAGTGGATATAAGACATGCACTCACTCACTGATAGATACCCATTTACTGCAAGTATATACATGAATATCGTAGAGCATACACGGGGAAGTTACAAAAAATCTTAGCCATAATCATACACCTTAAGGGAACGAGCCACTGAGCCTGAGAGGTGAGGACCAGAGTCTCAGGACACCAGGGTCAAATGACATAAGATAGTCCACAAAAACAATGTTCTACAGCGTACTGTAATGAGAAGCAACTGAGGTCTTCAAAGTTTATGAGGGACCATCAGGTGAAACTCTTGGTCTTTACCCATCCAGAACAAAGAAGAGGACAGAAAACCAAATACACAAGGAAACAATTAGTCCAGCTGACTAATGCACAGCATGAATCTCAGCCTCCGTGACTCTGAGACCAGAAGAACTAGATGGTGCCTAGCTACCACTACCAACTGCTCTGAAAGGGAGAACACTCGAACGCACTGGAGAGAATGAGAGAAAAACGCGGAACAAAATGCAAAACCATAAAAGACGATCAGGCTTACTGGTTGGAAAGAAACTAGTAGAACCCCAGGACCACGGCCTTCGCTTACACTTACAGCCGGCGGCTCAATTTTCAGCCAAACAACAAAGAGGTCTATACGGTGAAAAAGGAGCCCTGGTAGCGCAGTGGGTTAAGAGCTGGGCTACGAATGGGAAGGTCAGTGGTACAAATCCACCAGCGGGTTCACAGGAGAACGATGAGCCTGGAAATGCTATGAGCAGGTCTAGTCTGTCTATGGGGTGGCTATGGGTCAGAATTACCTCAACAGCAGTGAGGTCTTAATACAATGAATCCTAATACTACATATCTTAGAATCCTCAATCATATGACATCAAAGGGGCAGCATTTGTTCCAGGACAGAGTTCAGAAGGCAGAATCAGGAAAGAGAAAACAGAGGGAGGAAGTGGGGACCAGTGGAGTTACATTGTAAGGACTGCAATCAATGAAAAGAAACAAAATGTGTCTGAACTGCTGGATGGAAAACTGGTGTGTTCTGTAAACCTTTACCCAGTTCACCAGAGACAGCTTTTTAAAAGTCTTAAAAGAAAATGTACGGATGAGGTGACAGGAATTAAAAATACAAATAGCTGTTAAATCACAACTACACCTCCGTCCAAACTTTTCTGCTGTTCTTCTTAAGCGCCATTGAGTTGGTTCCTACTCCTAGCAACTCCATATAGGGTTTCTAAGGAGCAGTTGGTGGGTTTAAAGCACCAACCTTGTGGCTAGCAGTCCAGTGCTTATCCCACAGCACCATAGCAGGCCTCCAAATTGTACCACCCTATAAAACTGTGTTCTGATGTGTCTGTATCATATCTGAGCCATTTAGAGCTGAGCAGAAGGATAGAGACAGGAAGCATGTTGTGGCTGACAGAGAAGTACAGGGTATGCGGGCAGACAGGCCTGGAGGAGGGCCGAGGAGAGCAGGTGATGTGGGGTTGGCTGGTCTAGGTGAGATGGCTGCACTGGCCCTCTCACCTGCTCTTTGTTCAGATCCTCTGGAGCGAGCCCGTCGACAATCGGGGTACCTTTGCCTTTCTTGCCTTTCTTTTTAGGTGCCTGTGGTTAAAAGAGAAACAAAAGGAACAAATAATACAACACAGGGCTCCCACTTGTTGGCACCTCACTGAAGCCTCGATCCCAGCAGGAGGGCCCTGGAGCACATGCTACGCTGAGGTTCCACTCCTACTGGTACACACACCCCTGGCTCCTTTGGAGAAGCATGAGGGAGGCTTCCTTTTCAGAAGAGATGTTGCCCCAACTGAAAGGAAAGGAGGGGCAACCAATTCCAAACCCACTCATTCCTTGGTATAAGACAAACACTTCCTCATCTTTGGACAAAATTTATCTTTGGACTCCAAATGGAAGCTTACACACACACACACACACAAAAAAAAAAAACAGCCATACTGTCACATACTACCATGTTTGTTACAAGCTTGGTGACCATCCTGGAAAACCTCCAAACACCATTCCACAGTTATAGGGAGCAGGGCTCTGTAGCAAGGATCACAGAATATCAGTTTAACCCTTGCTTTCTTCCAAGTATCAAACCCTTTCCAAGACCCCTGGTCACAGGAGTGCCCAAGTCGCTGAGTGAACAGTCCCCAGAGGGCTCTCCTCAGTGGCCTCAGCCCTCAGCCACCACACCTCAGATCTGTCTTTCAGAATCTTTATCTTTATCACTTTGCTACTCCCAATTGCACGACCCAGGCCTTCATGTGTATGTCTGCTTGCAAAAAAATTTTCAAACGGAAATTTTAGACAACACAGAGAAGCAAAAAGAAAACACCAAAATTATCCCATTCCGGCAAGCGAATGATAATAAGCAATATTTTAGAGGTGATCTCCTCACAGTCTACTTTCCAATGATCCAACCATGGAAACCTCAAATACTCCCCTTCCATGAAAGATCTAATCCAACCAAAGTAGACCTGCTCTGAGCATTCCTGGTGGACCCTCGAGCGTCCTAGGGTGCCCACTGACCAGCCTGTCCACCCTGGGGCTCTTGTGTGACCTGAGGGGCTGTGAGATGAGCCACTAAACCCCAAGCCTTCCACCCCAGGCAGGAAATCCGCTTCATTCCAAGGTCTTTCGTATGGATACCCCACACCCTGGGGTTTGAGGACAGCTCAAGGCTCCGGGATCGGAAAGGGCGCAGGGATCCAGAACCTCCGAGATCAGACCCCGAGCTCAGGCTCCGGGACGGGGGTCCCAGTGTGCTCAGTGCAGGGAAGCCGAGGCCCCGGGGTTCCAGGGAGTAAAGCCCCAGTGCGAGAAGTCCAAAGCTCAGGCTCCGGCCCGGGGGTCCCAATGAACACAGAACAGGGGCCCCGAACTCAGACACCGGCCCTAGGATCCCAGTGCGCTCAGGTGCCGGGCATCCGAAGTTAGACCCCAGCCCTGGAGGTCTCAGTACGCGCAGGCACCCGGCCCGATACCCGACGCTCCTCACCATGACTGAGCCGGACCCGAACCGCAGCGGCCCTCAAACCTGCGCGCCCCTCTGTGCGGCTGCGCGGTCTCCGGGCAACGCTTTGCACTCCCGCACGAAGTCTCGAGGATCTTCGCGAGACTCCGCCCACCACGGCCAGGATCGGCAACGGCGGGAAAGCGTCCCTAGCAACGCTCCGGGGAAAGATCCGTGAGTCTGGAAAGACCTCGTGTCACGGGTCGCCTGATCTCTCCGACACCCCTAAAAGCGTGTTGTTGCCCATCTTGAAGGAAGGATTCTGAAAACTAGGAAACAGCTTGTCACCTAATCAAACCACCAAAGGCAACCCCGTGTCATCAGTCGACCCCATAGAACAGAGTAGAACTGTTCCTTAGGGTTCCCGACAAGACTGAAAATCTTTCCGCGAGCAGTCTTATCTTTCTCCCAAAAAACAACTCGGTGGATTTGAACCTAGGACTTTTCGGTTAGCAGCCCAACGCCTAACTCAGTATCACCAGAGTTCCCTAACCAAGTGTTGTTCCGACTCATAGCGACCCTGTGTAGAGTTTCCAAGGAACGACAGGTGAGTTTGAACCACCGACCTTGCGGTTAGCTCAGTCCTTTATACCACAGTGCCACACCAGGACTTCTTAGTCACCTATGAAGGCATATCATTTACGTCTTCTGTTTACTACCTGTCTCCTGTTAAGAGAGGGGGGCCCTGTTCCCTTCATTCTCTGTTCCAACGCACTGAACGGGCTCTCAATAAAGATGTGTTGAATGAACGAGTGAATGAATGAACCGACAAATGAAAAGTTATGGATCATGGTCCAAATCAAATTAAAATTTCGTTTTGAGACTGTCTCCCAGGGACTCACCCCACCTTGCCCACCTTTAAAGTTTCAAGGCAGCTGGATTTCCACAAACCCTTATTTTGTTAAGCGCCCTAAAGTAAATTCCAATTCCATCCAGTATAGGATTTCCGAGGAGTGGCTGGTTTGAATCACTGACTTAGTGGTTAGCAGTCCAGTGCTTATCCTACAGCGCCACACCAGGACTAAGCAAATCAAATCAAAAATGTTTCAGCAGAGCTCCAAAGTTTTGAAATCAGAAGTTTGCTTAATACATGACCCACTGCTACGTGGCAGTGTGTTCACCCTCAACAGAAACACTGCTTTGCTTGAAGAGACCTCATGAAGGGCAAGTCCTTCGGAGGCTTGCAGACAGACATTGCCCAAAATAGATTGGCAGTAGTGTTGGTTGTGTGCCACTGAGTCGTTCCAACTCATAGTGACCCTGTTTAGGATTTCCAAGGCTATAAGAAGTTCTTGCATTCATCATCAAAAAGAACACATCCAGATCAGTCATGAGGTACAACGCTCTCTGTGATAGGATAATATCCATGCGCCTACAGGGAATCCCAGTCAATACCACTATTATTCAAATTTACGCACCAACCTCTAAAGCCAATGAGGAAGACATAGAAGAATTCTACCAACTTCTTCAATCTGAAATTGATCAAACATGCAATCAAGATGTATTGGTCATTACTGGTGATTAGAATGCAAAGGTTGGGAACAAAAAGGAAGGATCAGTAGTTGGAAAATATGGCCTTGGTGATAGAAATGATGCTGGAAACACATGACAGAATTCTGCAAAACCAATGATTTGTTTATTTCAAATACCTTCTTTAGACAGCATAAGAGATGACTATACACATGGACCTCACTAGATGGAATATATAGAAATCAAGTTGGCTACATCTGCGGAAGGAGACGATGGGAAAGCTCCACATCATCAGTGGAAACAAGGCCAGGGGCAGACTGTGGAACAGACCATCAATTACTCATATGCAAATTCAAACTGAAGCTGAAGAAAATGAAAACAAGCCTACGAGAGCCAAAATATGACCTTGAATATATCCCACATGAATTTTAGAGATCATCTGAAGAACAGATTTGATACATTAAACACTAAAGACTAAAGACCAGAAGAGTTGTGGGATGACATCAAGAACATCATACATGAAGAAAGCAAAAAGTCATTGAGAAGACAAGAAAGAAGGAAAAGGTCAAAATGGATGTCAGAAGAGACACTGAAACTTGCTCTCCAGGATACAGATGCTAAAGCAAATGGAAGAAATGAGGAGGTCCAAGAGCTGAACAGAAAATTTCAAAGATCAGCTCGAGAAGATAAAGCAAAATATTACAACAAAATGTGCAAAGATCTGGAATCAGAAAACCAAAAAGGAAGAACATGCTTAGCATTTCTCAAGCTGGGGGAACTGAAGAAAAAATTGAAGCATCGACTTTCGTTATTGAAAGATTCTCTAGTCAAATTATTGAATGATGCAGAAAGCATCAAGAGAAGATGGAAGGAATACAGAGTCACTGTACCAAAAGGAAATAGTTAATGTTCAACCGTTTCAAGAGGTAGCATATGATCAAGAGCCAATGATGCTGAGGGAGGAAGTCTAAGGTGCATTGAAGGAATTGGCAAAGAACAAGGCACCAAGAATTAATGGAATAAAAATTGAAATCTTTCAAGAAAGTGATGCGGCACAGGAGGCACTCACTCATCTCTGCCAAGAAATTTGGAAGACAACTATCTGGCCGACTGATTGGAAGAGATCCATATTTGTGCCCATTCCAAAGAGAGGTGATCCAATGGAATGCGGAAATCATCGGACAATATCTTTGATATCCCATGCAAGTAAAGTTTTGCTAAAGGTAATACAGAAATGGCTACAATCATACATTGACAAAGAACTTCCAGAGGTTCAAGCCGGATTCAGAAGAGACCCGTGGAATGAGGGATATTATTGCTGATGTCCGATGGATCTTGGCTGAAAGCAGAGAATATCAGAAAGATGTTTACCTGTGCTTTATGGATTACACAAAGGCTTTTGACTGTGTGGATCATGACAAGCTATGGGGAACATGAGAAGTGTGAGTATTCCGGAACACTTAATTCTGCTCATGAGGTATCTGTACCTGGACCAAGAGGCAGTTGTTCGAACAGAACATGGGAACACTGAATGGTTTAAAATTAAGAAAGGTGTGCAAAAAGGTTGTGTTCTTTCACCATACTTATTCAACCTGTATGCTGAGCAAATAATCTGAGAAGCTGGGTTCTATGAAGAAAAATGTGGCATCAGGATT